AGCGAGTAATCGAGTCACAAAGGGTTCACCTAAGGCTGTTTGATCCTATAGGAACTCAATTTCGGGCCCTCTACATGTTTGTCCTGAGCCCTTGCAACTAAAAGTTGAGTGCTTGGAACCACTCATGCGAGTTCTTCACAAAAATGAGTCAAAAAGTGGCTTGAAGTTCTACGGGAGGTGGGCTCCATCGCTAGTCCGCTAGGATGGTCAATAAGAACTCCTAAATCTAGATCCTAGGTTCTAAGAGTAGGAGACTTAAGACCTCACTAAAAATGAGGTCAACACATGCTTGCAAAAATGACCATATTACTTTGCTTGTAAACTGCTCTACCGTTTATGTTTGTTTTTTGTGTGTATTTCATGCTATTTTGTAAAAGATGCATGCATCAGATTCTTAGTTTCATATTTGGTTTTCAGATTGCCTCCTTAATTCTGAAGCAATCCCACACCAAGGAATCTTCTTGACCAAAAGCCTCAAACTTTTTGTTGTTCTAATATACGTAGAAAGTTATCACTTCATATTCTTCATGATCACAACTCACAAGCAAGATTTTTTTTATTTTCTTATTCAGTAACTGTTTACTAAAGTTCATTCATGATTACTATCAAGATTATTTTTTGACATCATTTTTAATGATTGTTGCTATGGTTCATTCTTTTAACTTACTTGTATTTTTTTACTTTCTTGCCCAAGTAATTAATGTTCCTATTACTTTTGCGATGGTTGAGTCAAATTTGACTCTAGCATTTACTTCTCTATGATGGAGATCACATTCCTTTGAATGCATGCTTTTAGCGGTCTCCTTTTGAGGTCCTTTGAGTTTTAAACTCTTTGATGTCTTCTGCTTTGTACTTAGCACTACTTAAGCATCTTCTATAGTTTTTGCATGAACTTTTTCGAAGTTCTTCATCATTAGGGAAGAGGTTATTTCTGCTTCAACTATAAATGTGACTAGGAAGAAGCTTTGTAAGGTGAGATATTTTTGGGGCCTGAAGGGGAACTTAATCTTAAATATAGTTGAAGAAAGAAGGTTACATATCAACCTTTTTTCTGATAATAGGGAGGTGATCAAGGTTTCTATGGTGATATAAACGATATGACTTCAAACACTAGACTTATGAGAGCATTTGTGGACTCAAATATATGATTCATATTCAGTGTATCAATGGATGGAACACATGAGTGAAAAAGTGATGAGAACATTAATTTCAATTGATAAGCTTTTCAAATCTGAAGTGTTTGGATCTTGTTTTTGTGAAGTTTGTGCCTTTTGCAATCAGATAAGTTTTAGTTTCACATTAAAAAAAAATACATTAGTGCGTAGGGATTATTTCTAGTGGCATCTCCAAGAGGTTTATTGTAGTCCTTTGTTGATGTTATTTTGGGGGATGGACCAAGCAACGAAACCTAAAGAATTATTCTCAAGCTATTAGAATTTTACCTCAAACTGTCATACCGACTTTAATGTATCGGCATGATATGACAATGGTGGAATCTTGCTTTACTTCATGAACATACAAGTTATCTTTTCCAACCTTGGGTATAGTGAGCTACAAAATGCTCATTACAAAGCATCAATGATGTTAGTAATTCCAATTAGATTGGTAACTTGAATGCTTACAAAAATGACCATCTTATTTCACCACTGAATTCTCTTCTAGTTATGTATGGTTCAATTGTGTTTTTCATATAAATGCATAATAATCCCATGCATTAGTACCTCAATCCTCAAGCAATCCAATATTAGGTATCCTCTTTAGATCATTAACCAGCTACTTTCTTAAAAACCTCAAATGATATTTAGTTTTAAAATCCTCATTAATTTATCATTTCACATAATTCATGTTCACGAAGATGGTCATTTTTTATCTCTTTTTTAAGCATTGCAACTAAGGTTCACAATCAATATTATTTTGAGCTAATGTTTATTGATTACTGCTAAGGTTCATTCATGATCACAACCCAAGATTATTTTTTGTATCTTATCTTCAACAATTGTAGCTTTGGTTTCTAATTTTAACTTTCACGTATTTCATGGCCTGCTTGCTCTCTTATCTTTATGGTATATTTATCAGGAACATTCCTAAGCATATCATGACAGTGGAGTCACTGACTCTAGCACCTACTCCACTATGATGGAGATCATATTCCTCTCAATTCGTGCTTGTAGAGGTCTACTTTTGAGGTTCATCAAGCCTCGGCTCTTTGCTTTCTTCTGTTTTTTTTTCTCACCCCTCTTAAGCATCATTTATAAACTTTTCATGAGCTTGTTCAAAATTCTGCAATCGATAGGGAGTAGATTATTCTTATTTTTACTACAAATGTGACTGTGCAGACACTTTGAAAGATGAGATATATTTTGAACTAACCTATTCTTCATTGGACCGTTGAATGAAAGAATTATTATATCTTGACTTTCTATCTTAATACTTGGAAGGTGAACAAGAGTGTTTTGTTGATATAAGATCGAACGCTGAAATAGTGGGAGCAAATGTGGACTCAAATACTTATTTACATACTACGTATTGAAGGATGGGGCGCATGAGTGAGAAAGAGGTGAGAATAATTCTTTCAATTAGTAAGCTTTCAAATTTGAAGTCTATGGACTCTGGTCTCTATGAAGACTGTATCTTTGGTAAGAAAAGAAACGTTAGTTTCACATTTTAAGAAACTTGTACAGACCAATGTTCGGGGATCATACCATATGGTATCCTTAGAGGGATACTGTGGTCAACAAAAATTAAAATAGTTAAATTAGTATAAAAAAACTCAAAGAAAATTAAAACGTAGACTAAATCGCCTCCTTGTGGGGGACTTGGCGACTATGTTGGCAAGCTGCTGCCAACTTGACAGCTATTGTTGTCCTCAAGGGCAGCTACGTTCTTAATTTTTTTTTTTTGTAAGATTTATGTGAAGATATTTGAGAAAGTTGTTTGGAGAGTTTTCAAGAGGGAGAGAATGGGAGCAAAGTCAGGCAAGAAAATAAGAGAATATACATATATTTATAATGTTTCAAATGATGATTTCCGTTGTCTCTAGTAGGGCTTTGCACAACGATTTTCGTCGTCAATGATTCAGTTGCACTCGAAAGAGAAGGGCTCGCATTGCCAATGCTTTGACCTTGGCCTAGTGCGTTTCATCGTCTCTCCGCTTTCGTTGCTTCGCGTCCTCAGCTTCGTCTGGTTCAACGCCAAGCTTCTGTCGACTCGCGTCTTCCTGTGTTGACGCTGAGCTTCTGTCGACATCCTCGTTTGTTTCACGTCCTCGTCTGTTTCGGCTCGCGTCTTCTGATACGTTATCGTACTGCGCTTACGGAACGTCATAGCAGGTGGACTCTCTCCCTGCTTTGATGGGTGTGCTCCCTCCTATGGTTGAACCCGACAAAGCCTCCTTCGCCCACATGGTGGGTAATCATCTGATGGAGTCGATTGTTGTCTTCCCCTCAAGCTATAAAGAATATAGTGATGATACAGATGACTGCCCTTTTATTAAGAAAACTAGTATGAAATGTGGGAAAATAACGCTCTTTTTCTTATTTAGAAATTTCAATCTTGACTTAAAAGTGCAAGTTCACTCTTATTGAAAAATTTCAGTGGGGGCACCCACCAATAAAATTATTAGTAAGAGTTTTGATGATCTCAAACTAGTAAACAAGTGGAAAGTGAGACTCTTTGATGAGAGACGTGTGTTGATTCAATTAACCATGACTGAAGACTACGCTCGGATTTTCTCTAAAAAATTTCTTAACATTGCTGGAAAGTCAATGAAGTTACTCAAGGGGCCTCTTAATTTTGACCCAAACCATGAACCTCCCACTGTACCAGTATGGTTTAGTTTATATGGTCTCAAGCTGCATTTTTTTAATCACCAGGTTCTCTAATTTATTGGGGTCATACTTGGGGATCCTATGAAGTTAGATCTACCCACCTTCAATCTCCCTAAGCATTTTGTTGCTAGAATACTTGTGGAAAAAGGATATTACGTTGCCTGATATTACAGAAGTTTGGCTGGGCACAACGCATAGTAGGTATTGGCAACAAATTGTCATGGAACATAGATCTTTTTATTGTACCCACTGTAAGATGTTTGGGCATATCCTTGACAAATGTCACAGGCTCCATCCTAATTTAAAATATACAGCTCAAGTGCATAAGGATTGGTCTAACCCCACTGCTTTGGACACTTTAACCCCACCTGTGGAGGAAATTACCACAAGACGGGAATTGGTGTCTGATTTAATTGCCTCTGACAATACTGTTTCTGTTTCTGCGATTGATGTGTTGTTGGATGGCTCTTTTGGGCAACCTACACCTTCAAACCTTATTGAAAACAATACTGAAGGATCCTTCCCTCTAAAGGATAATGTTCGAACCAATAATTAGGAAAGCCTTGCAGCTCCTCATCTTCAGGTATTATCCGGTGTAGAGGCGACAATTTATACTTTACATACACTAAAACCTAATGTGTTACAACGGTTGACAATCTTTTTACTGCGGTTCTACCACCTCATCGGAACGAGCAATTCATTACTGTTAAGTCAGGATAAGGGATTTATCAGCTTATAAATGCCCGACAATCTGTTGACCAACACACTGATCAGATGAACAAATCTTCGGACGAGGAATGATAGATTTACACATCCAAGAGGAAGAAGAAGAATGGAGATCTACTTGAGCTTAGGAATCTAATGAATGATACATTGGTTACTTTGGGTAATGACACACAACTCACCAATTTGTTAGCTGGCTCTCTTCCTAGAACTAGGGGCAAAGACAATATTAAATTGGGTCGTCCCTAACTTTTGCACGTTTTGGTGATTTTGGTTTTTGGTCTTACATGTATCTTTATTTTTTTGTGTGTTATACTGTGTAGGTAGGGTTGCCTTTTTGGGCCCACTCATACAATCTATCTGTATCTTTTTTATTTTAATATATTAGCCCTTAGGAATATATATATATATATATATATATAGATATTGAAAGTAATCCTTTAAGTTTATTTGATTTTATTGTGTGAAGAATAGCGCTGGAAGAGGGAAGCGGATGGGGAGGGAATTTAAGAGAGAGAGAGAGTGAGAGAGAGAGAGTGAGAGAGAGAGAGAGAGAGAGAGAGAAGGGGGCATTAAAGAATGGAGATAAAATTAGAGAGTGAAAAAAAAAATATTTGATGACATGTTTTATAATTTGCGTTTTTTTAATCTAGGGAAATAAATGTTTTTTTTTTCTTTGTGGGCATGCACTTGGGCAAATCTTAGCCTTGTAAATTTCTCTTGTTTTTCTCAGAGTTATTATATTCATCTCGCATTTTTTGAAGTGTTTATTACCAAATTGGTGCATCAAAACTCGCAAGCTTTAAATTCCTAGCTTCATGTTTGGTTTCACGTGAGTCAAGATGGAGGCAAGGTGAATAATATGATGGTATGGGATGACAAAGAAATGGAACTATAACCGTTTAAGCTGTGTTTGCATGTTTTACAGTTTCATTTTTAGCAAATTGTTACATAACTCGATGTAATTATGTTAGAAAAATCACTTGCTTTATGGGCTGATTAAATAACTTAGATTTGATCATTAATCATCATCTAGTAGAACCTTGAAAACTCTGTTTTTATTTAGTCATCTGCAAATCTGCTTTTTATTTTATCTAGAGCTAGATGCGGTTCTTAATTTAGTTTGAAACGGTTCAACTGCATTACTGAGTTGGGTTTTGAAACTAAGGAACTTGCTTGTTGCTGCACCATTTTGTGCATTGCATCTTGAGAGCTGATCATAAACTAGCATGAATAATATTATATGACTTTCAGCTATATATTTAGTTCATATTGTAAATGAGCTTCAATCAGGCTTTACTTGTGCAAAATTCTGTGATTCTAACACCTATATTTGCATGGGTTTTGTATACTGTATCTGTTATTCTATTTATAGATTTTAGCTTTCAAAAATTTTAATTTTCAAACCTTGTTTGCCAACACCAAGCTAATTACAATCATGTATGCAGTAGTGTCAAAAACACCATTTTCTTGTCTGCTTTTTCTTATCTGTTGCAGATTACACTTGCACTAGGCACACTGGTCTGCCTACGACATCAATATACTTTGTTTTAATATTCGAGACATTGCGTGTACAGCATGCCTTTCTTGGTGCTCTTCTTTTCCCATGAATACCTGCTCTAGTTACTCAAACATATATGCAACTTACGGCATATCTTCCATTTCAGTCTGATGAGTATATTATTTATTTGAGGGGCATTTACATGCCTACCACCCAATTTCTATCTATTTACTTATTTTGCACCAAAAGTTTACTTTCTACATTTATGCTACCCAAAATTTACACTTAGAGACAAAATGTGAAACGATAATATTCGTGTAAGGGTTGAAGTAGCTCCAGTGACAGGCAAAATTAGATAAAATTGCCTTAGATTGTTTGGTCACGTTAAACGTCGATCATCTAATGACCCTGTTGGGAGAGTTTTAAATTTCACATATGTTGAGAAAGGAAGATATAAACCTAAAAAGGCGTGGGCTTGTTGTATAAAAAATGATCTTAATTAATTAGAATTAAATGAATATATGACACTCAATAGGACACAATAGCCAACGCCACTTAGTGTTTCGAACACTTTTTTTGTTGTTTTTGTTGTTGTTATTGTATTTATACCACCCAAAATTTTCATATCACTTAAAAGCATCACTTTTTAACTTTTAAAAAGTGAAATGCACATTTTCTTGCATAGGTAAAGGTGGCAAGTATGTAAAAGTTGAAGCTTAGGTGTTAAATATGTAAATTCATAGAAATTGAGTGGTATGCATGTAAATCTTCCTTTATATTTTATTTATGTTTTTAAATCCTTCAAATTCTTTGAGCGTTGCTAGAACTTTCTTGCATTACAGCTTCATTATTTCTGCTACTCCAATCTCTGTTTTTTTAATCCTTTGAGTTTTCGTTTCAATAGCATACTCTATTGGTGTGTATCTTCTATCATAAACAGTAGTTATAGATTCGAGAGGTTTTTTTAACCTTACCTCATGCATTATCCAAGCTGCAGTCCTAAATGTCATATGCGCTTACCTTTTGTTTACAAATTTGCTCGAATATCTTGCGCTATAGCTGCATTTTTTTATGCTGCTCCAATAACTACTAACTATGAATGGACATGATTAAGTAGTTTGACTTTTTACTAAATGTCATATGTGCTTTCCTTGATGTTGTTTTACTTAATTATAAAAAGTATGATTTTAGTGCACAACGAAAAGATCTCTCCTATAATATCTACTGCCACTCAAATGGCTCAAAAGTTTGTTATATCATTTAGATATTTGATTTGGAAACCTAACATGAAAATTTTTTTCTGTTTGCGCTCCTTCTCTCGTTTTATATTCAGTGAACGCTTCTGCAGCGCAATACTCATCCTCTTAAATGTCCTCTTTCTCTTGCTTAACAAAATTCATTGATTCCTAAATTATAGTTTTGATCTGTATTTCTTTAATCTTTTGCCCTTTTTAATTTTTAACTGATGTGTGAGAGTTCAACCATTACAGGTATTATTTTGATCACAAGTTTCTCATCGATGTGGTGAGTAAGATATGTAACCAGGTTCGTGGAGTGAACCGAGTTTGCCAAGATATAACATCTAAGCCGCCTGCTACGGTCGAGTGGGAATAAACTTCGATGTGGCAACGAAATTGATAACTTTATAATTATTTTAGAAATCTAACTAAAAGGATATTTATCAGCGAGTGCTGGACGAACTAGTCTAGAAATGCATTTTCCGCAGGTCACCATTCCACATTGGGTTGATCAAGTGTCCAGCCATTGCAAGGGTGGGAGGAATGCTATGGGTGACATAAAAAAACAGGTATTTTTGGCTTTATGTTACATGGATAGTACACCATATATATAATTTTTTTTTTATGTTTTGAATTTGTTTACAGATTCCTGAAAGTATTTTGCTAGTTTCTATTTTTTGTTTTTTTGGTGTATTGAAGTTTATTTAGGTTATATTATTTGGGTTAAGGAGATTTGTTTACAATAATATGATTGGAGTTTTAATCTTTTAGATGTTTTATTCATGGTATATTAAAGCGAAGTTGATCTTTTAATTTACTTGGAATGCACCAAATTAGCTCTTTCACATGCAAAACCAAAAACTCTGATTCATGTGATGACAACATTGCTATTTTCACCACAGCTTTAGAGAAACCTTCGAACCACACCCGATGATTGTATGCTACACTCAACGTAACCCATCGCTCTCGATGATGCATTGTCATTTTGCATCTAATTTTCTTCCTAATTTATATAGATAACCCTGTTGGTTTGCCAGATTATAACGTCAAATTTAAGTCCTACAAATTTTTGTTCTATTACTGATTTTAAGTTCTTATAAACTTTAGGAAGCTTAAGATTCTGCAGTTGTAGGTGTAATATTTAAACCAATGGTGCAGAAAACGTAGAATTATGTATAAGATATTCTTTTCCTTTTACCATAAACTTCATTTCCTTATTTTGTTACTTTGTGTGCGTGTGCTTGATATGTGTTTGTTGAAGGGTAGAGTATCCTTTGCCACAGAATTTATTTGTTTGTTGGCGACTGATTTGATTTTTTTAGATAAAAGAATATGTTTAGTAACTAATTAAATTAAGTTAATTTATATATTAATATTTAATTATTTATTTTAAATTACAAAAGAAAGATTTATTTTAAATTCCAGCGGATTGAATTTCGCACTCAATGTGTTGTGCAAAATGAGTGATTTTTGACCCTTACTTTATGGATATTGTCCTTTAATAAATTTTATAAGGACATAGAATTAGAAAAAAATTATGCTTGTTCATGACATAGATACTTAACTGTGACAGTGTTTGAGGATTTTGTTTCTTACCGCGAGGCCGTTAGTTCTAAACATGCATATTATTTTTTGTGCTCACAAGTGTGAGTGTGTGTTGTTCGCGTGACTCTTTGTTTGACATCTGTAAAGCAATTCTAAGTCCTTTGGGGTCATATGTTTGGGTCCGCTTAAGTGCATCTGCCTTGCAGCGCTAGATCGAGTGATCAAGCACACTGGAGACTCATATTATAGCCTATAGTCTTTCTTTCAATATATATATATATATATATATATGCTCACCCCTCTTTCATGAAATATATATATATATATATAATTTATTATTCTTTTAAAGGGAAATGTGCTCGAAAGTTACTGTCATAACAAAATATTCCCTTAGAAAGAACGATGTACGACGTTTTTGATATATGGGTTTGAAGTTTGGTTGCTGAAGGGGATAAGATAACTGCAACACTTGATCTTCTCACTTCTTTGTTCATCAGTGGTCTGATAGTGATATAGGCTTGGTCAAATTCAAAAGGTGGTTTGTTTTATTCATATTAAGTATTGAAACAATCGCTTGTCACTTTGGGGATAATTTAATCATGGTGTGTTATAGATGTTGTGGTTGTATTCACTTGTATTAAAATTTTTATCTATTTTGTTATTGCTGTTCTGATTGAACTTATCTTGTAATTACTTTGATTTAGTGTGATAATTCTCATTGTAATTTTGTAGATGTTATACAATGATGTAATATTTTTTTGTTGTGATGTGGTATAGCTTTGATAATATAATTTGTTGCTTCTTCGTTTAAGGAACATGTGTGAACTTAGTACAAACATGGCTCAAATGATATTCAAATATTATCTTTGAATCATATTCGAACAACATTGGAGGTTTAGGGTCTGTTTTGGCCAGCTGCAGCTTATTAAAAAACAGTTGTGAAGCTGTGGAAAAATAATTTGATGTTCAAAAAGATGCGGTGATTATTAAATTTTTTTTTTTAAAGTCGGACCGTAGCTAAAAAGTTGTCACCACACCTAGCCAGGACTGGTGGGAAAATGCAGATTTCAATGACAGTTTTTTGAGAAAGTTGTCAAAATGTAATTTACCTAAATTGACAACTGTTGCGCAGTGTTGCATCGTCACAACACTGTCGCCCCAAACGGACCATTAGTCTGATACCTCCAAATGGTGTTGAAAATGTGTTAAAATTTATTCAAACTTTGGTCAAGCATCTATAGAATAAGATTTAAGTAGATTTTCGATAAGGCTCAAACAAATCTTGCATGATTTGAAGATTTAAGTTTTGAACTATGCTCGAGCATGTTTAGAATATATTTGAGTTATGTTCAAAAAAAAATGTTTGAGTTTCGTTCTATCAAGATTGAAGTTCAAATAACGTTTGAATTGAATATAGTAAGTTCATTTTAAAGTTAATAACAAAAATTATAATTTAATAATTCTAACATAATTTACATACCGACCACTTGAAATATTGCTATTTACAAAACAAGCAATTATTTCATTCCTTTTTCGAATTCTCACTCAAATATCAAAATAAATGATAAAACCCAACCCATATTTTTCATTTTTTCAATTTCTCAAGTAAATAGATCAGTTCAAAAAAATTAGTCGGGTGTTTAATTTATAAATATTAATGTTTGGGGTGGTCTTTGTGTAATTGACCCTAAAATATAAAGCAGTAATTAAAATTATTTAAAAAAAAAGTTGCGGAAACAAAATTATGCAATCAAACGGCTCACATACATTCATGCTCAGTGTGACATTTAAACATCGATTAGTGAAGAATTTAGCAATGATAAATATGTCATTACCGATAGGACTGTCAAAATGGCTCGTTGTTCGCGAACAACTCGTGTTCGGCTCGTTCGTTAAGTTAACAAGCCGAACACAAACAACACGAACAAATATTTGTTCGTTCGTGTTCGGCTCGTTTTGGCTCAAAATATGACTAATCAATTAATTATATATATATATATATATATATGTATATATGTATATATGTATATATATATATATGTATATATACATATATATATATATATATATTTGATGAGTAGTATTTTAAAAACGATAATTGACTACAATGCTACAAAGATTTATAATCAATTAAAAGTATTAATGAAGAAAATAGAATAAAAATTATTAAATTAGATTCGAATGATGTTTTAAATCTTACCCAAATCCTTAACATCTTATGACTACGTGATTAGGGTTGTTAAAACGACTCTTTATTCGTGAACGGCTCGTGTTCAGCTCACTAAGCAAACAAGTCGAACACGAACACACTTTTTGAGCTCGAAATATAAACGAGCCGAACACGAATTTTGCCTAAGCTCACTCGTGTTCGACTCGTTTACACCCCTAATTACCGATAATATTCAACAAATAAATTATTTAATTTGGTTTTTTATTACGCTCTTAAATTTCTAAATACATAGTAAGGGAACTTAAATATGTCAGTTCAAAAAGAGGAGCGTAAAATAATAAAAAGTCATATTTTTATTATGATCGAATAATAATCAAAGTAGAGGCAATCAAGCCTCGATCAAATTTCAAAAAGTTTACTAGGAATTGTTTGACCGTTCGAACCTAAATTTGAATTATCTTCAATCATTGATTATTATTATTTGAATCCAATACGATTAAGATTCGCAAAAGTTCTATATATTTAACCGATGTTGATATCTTTTGACCTTTGTAACCGTTGTTGGCAGCATTTCGTATTGGTAACTGCAACTAGCATCGTTTTATATTTGTAATTGTTCAATTGGGTTGCCTGATCATTGTTCGATTGGCTAGAAGTTTTTTGGTTGATTGGTGTATCTTCGGTCGGCTTTGCTGAGGAAATCCTTAGAGAAGACCTCCTTATCCTTAGGAAATGTTTATTCTATCAGTCAGATGGTACATCATTGTAATCTGACCGACGACCTTTCTTAGATCAAAGAGGTCTTCCTAGAGAGTTGATAAGTCCCACCAAGAGACGGTTGATCTTCTCTGTGAGTGACTTATAATTGATTGAGTTGTCATCCGTTCAAGTGTGTGATGCTCCTTGGTTTTGATGTACTGTCATTAGGTCGGTCGTCGGCATGATCCAACCGAGTGAAGCAAAAGTCGATGGTTCGGTCCTTTGACCATGATAATGCGGTTCTTTGATATCCTCTTTCAATATCCGTTGAATTTTCTTGAGATTTGTGTTGTCAGAATTTCGATATACACTTGCAAAACAAGTATTTACATGCATATCACATAAATCTTATGTTTTTTTTTATATTTATATGTATATCACTCAAATTTTTAACATCGCGTTAAAAATATCACTGATATTTGCTTTTAAGAAGCAACATACATTTTCATACATAATTTTATGTCACAAAATTGCTATAAATATAAAGCATAATCACATACATAGCACAAAAAATAATATTATTTATAAACTCCAAATATCGAACCGGTGTATTTATGCATGCCACGATCAAACTGTCGAGAATTTGATAAAAATAAAAAATATTAGTTGGGATTTTATCATGAATTTTTGTATTTGAGTGAGAATTTGAAAATTGGATGAAAGAGAATGCCAGATTTATAAATAGCAATGTCTCGGGTGCAAAATTTGAAATTTACATAAATACCATACATAAGAATTGTATGGTATTTATGTAAATTTCAAAAATAAGGGAGATGATGGAGATGAGAGCCAAGCAAAAAAAGTTCAGGAAAAGTTGGGAGATGTTGATGCCGGACATGTAAGGAGGCCTCTTACTAAATTAATTTTTAAAATTCATTATTATGAGAATTAATTATATTTCATGAAATTAAGTTTGTTAAGTAGGAAGGTATGGTCATGTTTGGTATGGCAATTTTTTTTTTTTTAATATTAAGTCCTTTTCTTGGAAGTCAATTAGTTACTATGTTGGGGGATTCCAAAGACAATTAAGTATTTTAATAAATCTTCATATTTGGAGTCATTCAATTATTTTCCACAATGTTGATATATTAACTTCTTTTTTTGAAAGTTTATGCCAAGATCAATTTGTGTGAAGATGTCGATTTATCCTTATGAAAAATCTTCAAGAAAAAGTTAATATTTGTCAAACTCATAAATGGTGACATCTGTATCATTTTCGGAAGGGATGATCATTTAGATCAATTTGCCCCTCCATGGGAATTCATATTCCTC